CCCCGTCTTTCCCTTCCCCGGGCACGGTCCCCTCGCCGCCCCTCTTCCCCGCGGTGGTCCTCGGGCGCGGCCCCGGAGAGAGGGGTGGGGGTCCCGGGCTCCGGGCGGGCTGCCGGCGGTCGCGGAGGGCGGCGGATCGATGGCTCTGGGCTTTCCGCGGATCCTCCCGAAGGCAGAGCCCCGGTCAGCCTGCCGGGGTGCGTCTGGCAGCGCATCCCAGCCCTTCAGGAAGGAGCGAGGAACGTTCTCGGCACCTTCTGTCCCTAACTTCTTGGAAGACCCTGTGGCCAGCCGCTGTGCGCCCCGCTGAGCCGGGCGGCCCCCGGGCGGCAGCGACCCCGGGGAGGCTGGGCTCGGCCGCACGGAGCCGGTGCCCTGGCGCGGAGCCTCCGCCGGGGAGGAGCGAGGGCGAGCGGTGCCCCGCGGCCCCCGGCCCGGGCAGGCTCCCCCGGGCCCCGGCTGGAACGGGGGGTTCCAGTCTTGCGTGGGAAACGGAAAATAAGTGGTCGGAATTCAGTACAGTCGGGTCCTCGTGTGTACAGAAAGTAACGCGCACCCGGGGGTGTATCTCAGCAAGTTCTGTACACAGCCACACCGGCTCCTTGCTAGAATTTGTTTGGCTACTACAAAAATTCTTAAGAGTGGCTTTTGTTACACAAACGGGTCGGTAAAGCTAATGTCAACAATCCTGTACAGGCACCTACAGGCTTACACTTCAGTTTCTTCAGTGCAACTTGCCTAAAAATGAACACAATTCCTCTCCCCTCCACCCCCCATGAAATAAAAACCAATTGTTGTTATAACATTTAACAGAATCCAAAACAATCTGAAGAGCAGCTACTCCTTCAGTTACTTACCATGACTAAAAAGTTCAGATTTTGTTTTTCAAAGCTGTAAAAGTGCTCTGGACATCACAAACAGTTCACCAAAATAAGCTGCCTGTAGCTCTTGTGGGTGTGAGGTAGGCACCTCCACTGTGTCTCTTCCTCTGCAGTGTCCACTTCCCTCTTTGTTTTTCTTTTTAGGATAGATTTTCTTTTTAGGAAAGCAGCCAAGCTTTTCACTGCCTCCTGCATTTCTACCAGTGTCCCAAACTCTTTGTGAGATGCAAATGCAGGAGCAGGCACATGTGTATTACCCTCCTGAACATCTTAGGTCATTGTCTGATCTGCAGGTTTGCTCTTCTGCCTTAGACAAACTGAACTTCTGAATAGCACTTGTAACTAGAAGACCTCAAAAGCGTGGACATCAGTAGTGCTACCTGATACTGCAGATGGGGAAACATGTGAAATGGAATGACCTGCTCCATCTTGCTAGGCAGAACGATAGCAGCAGACACAGGTCTTTTGAGTCCTAAATCAAGATCCTGTGTCTAAGCAACACTAATCCAAACTCAGAATGCCTCATGAATTTACATGTCAGCCATGTATGTCTTAGTCGTTTTCTTCGTACAGCAGATAATGGGTGGAAACAGATTTGCCCAGCTCATCCAGTGTGTGCCTGAGCTGACTCAGGGTGTAGGATGTGGACACTCTAGGTAGCACTGAGCAGGGCTGTTGCATACACTTTCTGCACTCTTCTCCCCACTGGTTTGCTTTCCATTATGAATTCATTGAATTTGAATTCTGAATTGCATTTCCCCATCACACATTCAAAACTATTAAAAGCTATCACAAGGGAGAAGGTAAGTGTCCGACCTCTCCCAATGCTTCCTGGGGGCAGGGGGAAATCTCTGTCGGTGTTACAAACGTTAGTGTTCCCTATTTGAGGTACTGTATAGTTCTGTTCTTTCCCCTGTGCATCTCCAAAACCTTCACTCTTTTTTGCTCTTCTGTGGTTCTTCCTTATAAGAATCATGAAGCACTTTACAGTCACCAAACTGTCGCTGTCTGAAGTTTTTAGAATATGGCTGTTACAAGTTTAGCAGATGTTTATTGGTGTGGAATATTTCTTCCTGTTTTGATGAGCTTGTGCATTTGATCATGCTTAGTACATGAACAATTTCATAGGTTCCTGAGTATGTAGGAAGGTGCTCTCCCTTATGCGTGAATAAAGTTACCCTTTGGTGAACAAACCTGTAAAAAGTTGGGCAAAAACATCAGACTGACTGTGAGTGCTGAGACACTGGCTGTCAATTCCTTTGCTTTTCTTTATGAGAGTCTTTCTCAGGCAGCTAAAGACAGAAACCCTTAAAAAACAGGCAACATTGTATGAAAGTGACTATTAAGAAGCCAGTAAAAGGCAGATTCAGCTTTGGAAGTACCTTTAACTCCTTATTTTGAACTGGCGTTTTTTAAACTTAGTACCAAGAATTATGAGCAACCAGCTAAATTTAGCCAAAGTATGCTAGACCTAATGGAAGGATAGCAAAAAATCCGGGGTGGCTGAGTGATTTCCCTCTACTTATGAGATGTCTGCCTTAGAACTGATACGCAAAGTCAGGTTCCTGTTCTCCTGGATCTATGTCTCCATGTCTGCCTCTACATTTCTTATTCTGTAATAAAGCTGAAATAGGTCTTGTTTACTTCAGGTATTGGTATGTTTCTAATTTCACCTCAGCTTTTTTGTCACTAATAACTCAGGAGAAGCTTAGCAAGAGCTATTACAGTTTAAGGAAATATGTGGATACCTGAAAGTACTGCGCCTGAGAATTTCAGGAGATTCACCTCCTAGAGATTTATGATAGAGACTTGTATCTAGATAATAAATATTCTCTAGGAGTGCTCATTTCTCCTAATTGATTAGAGAACAACTCTTCTGACCTATTTTATATATGTTTCAGCGCTTATGGTACAGTTTATCCTAAAAGTGCCTGCTTTTTTCCTTTTCATATGTCTATGTGATGTGCTCAAGACGTAAATGTCTGTCGTGTAGAGCTCTGAAGTTAGACTAATTAATTCTACACTTTCTTTCTACTTGACAGGTTTAGGTCTTCAAAAACATTTCATATAAAGCGAATAGTATAGTGTTCTGGCCTCCTAGAGGAAAGATACTTCAACTAATAAACTCACACTGTAGAAAATTACTGTCATAAGAGCTGCAGTTCTGCTTTTGCTTCTTTAACTGGTTTGGATGGGAAGTGCCTTCTGTGAGCAATGATAGCCAAAAACATTTTGGAGTCTTCACTCCCTGCAGATAGATTGAACTGACATATGCAGTACAGTCTAGAAGCAATAATGTACTGGCCCCCTTGCTGGCATTTAAAGCTTCTCCCCTTCTGACTGTGATGAAAACCCCCTGAACGCGCGGGGGGGTGACCGCTGCCCAGCTAGCATTGCTGAGATGTCACAGCTCCTATTACAAAGGTTTCTCCCACTCAGAGCTATGCTGTCTAAAGCCTCATCAAGAAAGAGTGCCAAGAGCAAGTGCCAAAAGCAGGACTGCAGAGGATTTTAAGATTCTGTATCTTCCAAGAGCTGCCTGAGCAAGACAAGGCCACGTATAAGATATTTGAACAGTCATTTAAAGGGACACTGCCGAAAATTACCCTGCTATTTGAAGGCATCTGCTCTGTTTTCACAAGTAACATGTAAGACTATTATCACAGAAAGAGTTAAGAACACTTTAGAAAAAATAATAGACTTCTTTAAAGTGTATTTAAAAAAATAATACAAGTCTTGTAAGTGCACCTGTCCGTATAAGGGCTCCAGACTTCCTAGGGCTTCCTGCCCTGTTGAGGGACAGCAGGCCTATCCTTGATACCTTGATGACCTTTATCCTTGATAAAGGAAAAAAGAAAAAGGAAAGAATCTCTCTCTCTTCAGTCTCATTCAGTGCATACACTGGATGTACATTTTGACATCCATACACCAAATGATCCAAGAAGAGTAGTAATGGAACTATAGATACTGCAGTTGAACATTGCAAATCACAGTGCTGATGCAAATAAATGGTTGTGATTTCACAAAGAGTTTATAATTGTCTTCTACCTGAGTATTGTCATTGTAGAAAACAGTTGCCACAACCTAAAGCCTCAAGGCAATGAATATTCTCTGTTGCACATGGAAAAGGCCACACAGTGGTGTTGAAAAACCTGGATGTCTACTTAGCGTTGAGTCAAAGCTGGCTTTGGTCCTCAGATGGAGGCACTCCAGTCTGCTTCATAGTGACAGCGATACTCAGTGAATGATGTGACTCCTCAGTATGTCTGGGAAATTGGCAACGTGCAGCTCTGTGTTAGCCAGGGTAATGAATACCCACTGAGTCAGTATTAACTGGTGCAGGTTCCTTTCCCATCTTGTGTATCCTCCTGCAAGATGTCATGCTAGTAAAAGCTGGAAAGCTTTCATAAGCTTTCAAGACCCAGAATTTACTGTGAAAGCATAGATCTCTAACAGCTTTTCCATTTCGTGAAAAATAAACCGCTCTCCCACCACAAGGGAATACACCTTCCTTTTCTTTCCTGACCATTCTCCTTTTATCCTCTGTCAATTATATAAACGGATTTGTCTTTCTGAAGGATGACCGTTTGTAGCTCTATACCTGTTGGTGTGCTCAGGTCCAGGTCCACAAAGTGACTTGGGGTTTGCCATGCCTCCAGGTTACACACCTGTCTCCAAAACTGGATGTGACAATTTGGTTAGGTATCCAACTTTACCTCAACTCTACCCCTTCGCTGTTTGGTATCTCAAAAGGCATCCACTGTAGGGAAATGCTGAACAGAATGACAGTGGAAGGGAGCCGTGCTTGAAGCAGCCCAGAGAGACAGGAATTCAGGATTTCTCTTTGGTAGGAGACTGCCCTTTTCACTGGAATACACTTCTGTCGTCTCCCGCTGGTACTTTTTGGTCTTTCTTGAATCCTTTATTCCTTGCTTGGTGGTCCCAAGCCTTTCAGGCGAGGAGTGGAGTATGGCAGAAAGCAACCTAAAGTAATTTTCTGACTTCCTGGCAATGTGTCTAACCATTACATATAAAGCATGAAGAACTGGATCATCTCCTTTGCTGACAGTTCAGTTTCATTCAGAAATAATGCCCAGAGAGGTGGTAGATGCCCCATCCCTGGAAACATTCAAGGTCAGGTTAGATGGGGCTCTGACCAACCTGATCTAGTTGAAGACATGCCTGCTCATTGCAGGGGGGTTGGACTAGATGACCTTTAAAGGTCCCCTCCAACCAAAACTATCCCATGATTCCATAATCAAAATGCTGTGCATTGTGCTGACTTTAGGATAAAGATGCTTACCGGATCAAGGTCCTCAAGGATTTAGATGCAAGCATGCCTAACTAACAAATCTGAAACAGGTAGAAGAAGTAAAAAAGCAGTACGAGTTCCAGCACAGTTCAGACAGTGGTGCTCATTGGCTTGCATAGGAGCAGAACTTAGGAAGCTGAGGAGTAAGTACCTAACAGGTATCCTGTGAACCTGTAAATCTTAGACATCTAAATTCTACAACAGTTAAATTTACTTGTATAAAACATTTTTGAGTCTGGGTGTCACTGCATCTCCTCTCTTTTTACACAGTGAAATAATATAATAAGATTCTAGACTCATGAAATACGAGCCAATTGCTTCGGAGAGGTAAGGCTTTACTAAGTTGGGCTAAGTACAGAATAAGGTACAGCACTCACTCCACAGGTAAGATGATGAAATTTTGTTTTGTGGTTAAACATTTTCTTTGGTACTGCTTTAGGAAACGTTCACACAGCACGTGGCCGAGCTATGGAACTCCCCGTCTCAGGGGACAGTGCATACAAAATGTTTACTCAGGTTTAAAAGGCAGGTGGATAAACTAATTGAGGAAAAATCCAGGAAAATCTATTAAATACAAAAGCAGCACTTCTGGTGCAGGATAACAGCAGTCTCTGTGTCTGCCTCCTCTCTTACCCCCAGTCACTATATTCTTGCCCAGTTTTATTACTTTTTCTGAGCCACCTGCTGCTGGCTGCATCAGAAAGAAAGATACTGTTATAGATAAGGATCCTTAGACTCATCCTCTGCAACAGTTTGCACATTCCTGTGCAAGGGAAGTTTCAGACTGAAAGTCATTTGCAGCAGCAGCAGCAACACAAACATAGTTTTCAGTGTAAGTTCACTTACAGCAATTTCCCTTTGCCTTAACTCCACTGACTTCAAGAAAGTTTCTCTTGATATACCCTAGTGTGAGGTCACGCTAAGGCAAGCTTCCTTCCTTCAGGAACAACACAGTATACCAGAAAAGTCTAAGGAGGTAGGGAAAATTACTAATTGCACAGGAAAAATAAAATGTTTAGAAAGATTTAACTTGGACTGTGGCAACCACTGGGGTTTTTTTTAGTGTAAATTTAAGGAACCTGGCTCTCATGTAAGCAATCAAATAGTTCAGGGAGAATTCACTCTGCATTACTCTACCTTGGGCTGGTTGGTTCCTAGACTGTAAAGTAAGCATTTTTTTTTACTGAGTAATTTCAAAAGAAATCAATACAATATATGCTGATGTCAGTGCTCACAAAATCTCCCTCAGCTCCAGTTTACTGAATCTGCTGAATAGAAATGGCTGCAAATAAAACTTCCAGGATGCACTGACATGATAAATTTGTCAATATTTCCGTAATAGTTATCACATAATTTTTGAAGATCTGTTGATCCTTAAGCATTTGGAATGGCTTTAAGCCATGGGAATTTGATCGACTATATTTTTGTAATCCTATTGCAGGGACACTGCATCTTAAATATCTTTTTTAAATGCTGTTTGCTCAACTGTTTTTCCCCTATGAATAACCTTTTCCCCCTTTTATTTTTGCCTTTTATTTTCTGAATAAAAGTTTAACAGTTGAATGTACTTTTCTCTGCTTATATCATGTATTGATTTGTCTCTGCCCTGGACCTGTTCTGAACAAAAATAATCAAGATTTTTTCTGTTTTTAAAGACACTATTAAACTTAAATCCTTATGCAGTAAAACAAATTTGTCATCTAAACATTGAAGATATATATTTGTAGTCACTTATAAAAATGTTTTATCATAGCTATCGTGCACAAATCTGCCTATTGATTAAGTTCTACTCAAAGTTTTAGAGAAGCTGTAGTTTAAAATGTCTTTAAAAATTCACCAAATACGAAGACTGTAAGTCATACTGCATTAGTGCAAGCCAACAGGCAGTGTCCTATTGTGCTAAATGCTTTGAAAACACATAGAAATTCAAGTTCTCTGAGCCAAACAATTTATGTTTGAAAGGGATGATACCCATCAGTAAGTGTTCCAAGAACAGATTGCTGGGTATCTATCAACTGTTGCCAACCAATACATTAACTGACTTGGTGCTGCGCCTGAAGACAGGGCACACTGTGTTCAGTGCTACGTGGGCTTATGTCATTGGCCATTATGTTCCAAAAAGATAACATTTCTTGCTTTGGATCAGGTTTTTCTGTCCCTTATACAGGGAACATCTGAACACTGGGGGATGTTCTGATACAGCTAAGAGGCATGACAATTAGAGGAAACAGTCACCTTGTTTTCATTCTGTTTTTGCACAACTTTCTATGGACTGGAGTGGAATCTAAAGCTGTGTTCATACGTCCGTCTGTCTGAACAGGGAAATAATGTTTGATATTTGCCAAGATCTTGAAACTAACTGAAATGTTTGAAATTCAGGAAAGGGTATCCAGAAAAAAAGTAGAAACTTTGAATAATTTAGGTTGCAAGGGACTTCTGGAAGCCATGTAGTCCAACTCCTGCTCTAAGAAGCTACAACTAGATCAAATGGCTTTGGGTCTTGTCCAGTCCATTTTTAAATGCCTCCAAGGATGGAGATCCACAACCTCTCTAGGCAACCTCTTCCAATGTTTGGCCAAGTTCACGGTGAAAAAAAAATTCTTGTATCTGATTGGATTTTCTCACATTGCAACTGGTTTCCATTGCCTCTCACCATTATCACTATGCACATTCAAGAAGAGTCTGAATCCATCATCTCTATAGGCTTTTTATAGGTATTTGAAGGAATGGCCCAGTACAGGCAGGCATGTCAGTTTGGCACTTCAAAGAGAAACACTGGAACAGAACCAAATGTTGCAGTCTCTAGGGCAGCCCAATGGTATTCTTTGACACAAGAGCTTTGAGATACACCAAAGTTTTCAATAATCATTGTAGCAAGTCCTGTGGACTGCAAGAGTCAGAATGCTGTATTTCAGGAATTTCATTTGCTTTCCCATGGAGATGTCCCACAAACAGAGACTTTAAAACTTGAAATTTGTGTTATTTCAAATATAAAAAAATAGAAGGGAAAATATATAATATCCCAACACAAAAGAGGAAAAGTGCTTTTGTCACTTGATGTCCATTTAGAGCTTACAATGCACAGGTAGAAAATGTCACTGCTTTAGTATCCCTTGTGGAGATCAGATTTGATACTTCTGGCTAGAGCTGAAGTGCTCCATTGCTGCATCCACAGAGAAAGAACAATTTGGGACAAGTAAAACAAGGAAATAAGATACTCTAACCAAGTGATCTCTTCAAAGCAACCCTATTAGAAATATACTGGACTGTGACTCCTATTTTTAGCAAGGAATTATATTTAAAGTCTGATGTTAATCTATCCTCTTGGCCAGTTAATACCGAACATAAGTAATGCTAGATGTTTATTTTAAAAAAATAAATAAATCAACAAACACTTTTGGTACTAAGTAATGATAGTCCCGGTCATTTAGTGTGATGGATAAGCTTTGGACTTTCCCTGTTAGCTACACCACAAAGTTCCATGACAGTGTTTGTTGACAACAAATGAAATTAGAACATCATCACTGTATTTCAGGTCTTGCGAGCCGGCTGCAACTGGGCTTTGAAGTGTCTGGGGACTTTCTGCCTGGCTGTTGATTGAAATCGTAACCTTTTGCTAAAGTGCCATATGATCATGGAAATAAACTGCTCTTTCCTTTTCAGAGCTGTAGCTAAACCACTGCTTGAAATATAAAATGCTAATGTGTAGTTACTGTTACAGGTGATCTGAGAGGCAAGAGTAACACTGAATATTCCTACAACCTCTTAAGGATTTGGGAAGTCCACATCTTTAGCTGCATTTGTTCATTATGTCCACTGATGTTTTCCACTCTCTTTACAACTAAAATATTCCATTCTCTTTACCATTAAAATATACAATAAGAAAAATATTCTGGGAACAATGGACATTAATCTTCAAGTTGCACGTACTCAGAATATTTGCTTACATGCATATATGTACACATTTCATTTTTTTTCCTCAAACTGTCTTTCTAGTTTTACAAATCATAAAAAATTCCGTTCCTTAGTGATTCCTGTGAAACTATCTCTTATTTGTTCCTCTTGCTCTAGCATAAGAAAATACCCCAGATCAATGTGTTTTGATCAGTAACTTATGTACTTCTGCTTCTGAATATATCCAGGAAGACAATTTATTTGGCAAGAATATGATATTTTTTTTTTTAAGTTGAGTGCTTTGGGAACCTGGCTATGATTAAAGCCATCTCTTGAGCACATCAGAAGTGTTTTTAGCACAGTCCACAGATCAGAGGAAAATGGTATTTAATTCAAAACTATGATTGGGAATTTGGGAATCAACTAAGAGTTTAGATATTATTTAGCCAATAATTAGTAATTATCATTTTGTGTCCTATCAGGTGGAAATCCTTGACTGGAAGACAAAGAAACAGCTATGCTTCCTAGATAAGGTAAAACAAAAATCTATTTAAAATGCTAGGTGACTCTTTAAAAATTGCTAACTTTTCTTAAGTAAAGTTAGTGTTTATGAAGGTTATTTCATCTCCTGATAACCTTTCTTTGGCCACTGAAGAGGCAACCATTATGCACACTTCTACACACACTGACTTCAAAGCACTTCAACCCTTTTCCAGAAGGAGCTTTTGGTCAAAGGGCACAACTTCAGCAGCTTCAGTAAGATGGTGCCAGTTGTGTCTTACTCACTCATAAGCCACCAAACTATCAATGCTGTTGTAGTAACTCCTGACCACTGCTGTAGAAGCTGCCTCTGAAACGGATGTCACAAATTGTCCTCCTGTTTTCCTGTAAGAAGTACTTTGAATCATCCATAGCAATCCTAGCCACCTGTAAGAAAGTTATACCATTACATTGTCACATTTCTACTTGAATATTCTCACACCTACTAGTTGTCTTTCAAAATATGCATCTTACATATGCGATATTTTTTGTTGCCTAGGTGGAACCAAATGCCACAATTAGGGAGATCAGACTGATGTTCCATAGATTATGTGAGTATAACTTTTGCAGCAGTTCACATCATACCAGAATATCCGCTATATAACTAGAAGAAAATGACATAATTTAAAACATCACATCATGTACCTACATAATGCTAAGTAACCTGCACATGAATGCAATCACAGTGAGATTTCAGTATCATTTTTTATACTACCCCGATACACCTTCGTGGTTTTTTCTGCTGCATAATTTCTCACAGATATTCATGTTGAACAAATAGTCCTAAAAATCTTTAACTAAATCTTACCTTGTTGTGTTGCATTCGTTACAATAGTGGATGATCTAAACCAACCATTGTGTATCACACAATTCTGTATGGTCTTACAGATCCTCGGTGGTATCCAGCAAGGCAGTCCATAAAACTTGATCCAAGTAAGTACTGGTGAGGACTAGAGTAACAGAGCTGTGAGCAGGGACCTGGCATAAAAGTTGTACGTTGCATGGGCATTAGCTCTTAAGAATGAGTTTCCAGCTATGTTAATTAGTACTACAAAGGCTGAAGAGATTCCAGAACCAATTTAATTCTTTGAAAGTATTGAACAGAGTTCCACCCATGTGCCTGGTGCTTGGTAATTAACTTGGGAGTCTGCACATTGTTCCAAGGTACTTTCTAACTACAGAGCACTTTTGCTTTCAAGACAGGCAGCACAGAATCTAGGTACTAATTTCCCTTGGGTGCAGTGAAATGATCTCCACAGTGATGCTCAGCTGGGAGTATTAAAAAGGGCTATGAGTTAGAGCCATCAATTCACACAATCCTCTGCTCTCAGGCAGGAATTACAGTTCTTCTGAGGTCAGCTAGTGCAAAACACATTGCCATGGATGTAGGATATGCTGACAAAGCCAATGCCAGCTGGCTGACTTCATTAATGCACTTGTAGGTATTGCTGCTAGAAGCCTTTTAGTATGTGGCCTGGGTGCACAAAGGAAAATCTAATTGCCAAACTATGTTAATTCATCTTAGCATTCAGTATAAAATGTAGCATTTTCTTCTCTTGCTTCCATTAAGAAGAGTTTTATTTAAACAGTCTTTTAAAAGTATGCTGGTGAAGAGTAGTTCATTGTGTAGAATCTGTCCACAGAAAACACGTCTATGAGTGTCTTATTTCCTTCTTTAATTATCTACCTTGTCAGATTCCTCCATGGACTTATGTTGTGAGACTCACCATGAGAAAATTCTGGCCTTCTGCAGATTCCCCCAAACCTAGGCATTACAAACTTGAGTACTAGCTCAAGTCCTGTGGAATCACTGCCTAGCTGGTTGGTTGGGAAAAAAGGAGGCAATGAAAACCTCTGTAGGAGAGCCTCCCAATCTCAGCTTATCCTAGCTTCTGTTTGTCTGACAATGAGAAGAGAGGGAGAGGGAGGAGAGAGAGGGAGGTGCAGCTGACTAGGAGGTCAGTGAACTATGTTAAAGGGCAGTGACCTATCAGCAAATTCTGCTGTAGCAGTGATGAAGCAAGTCTACTAGACTAGGCAAGCACACAGGATTGAGAATTCTCCTAACTGTCTTGGTGTGAATAGAGGATCCAGACTTATATATGATTTGAGGGATAAATCAAAATTAAGTTTGTTTACTGAAATTCCAATAAACCCATTTCACATCAAAGAGTGTCACAGATTGGTTAAAGCACAATGTAAAGCTGGTAAGCTACCAAAGTTGGCTTGAATTTCACTGAGATGTAATTACTTCTTTCCTTCTCAGAAGGAAAGTCCCTGAGGGATGAGGAAATCCTGCAGCACCTCCCTGTTGGCACAACTGCTACCTTATACTTTAAAGATTTAGGGCCACAGATAGGATGGACTACGGTGAGCTATGCTTCAAGTCTGAGCCATTCTAATGGCTATTTTTCTATAATTAATCCTTACGTCACTTTTTGTCTCTCTCCAGTATTTCTGCATGATGCCTGCTCTGATAGTGGATGCAGGCAACGAATCCTCATTGCTTCAGTTCATTTAATCAGGGAAAGCAGTAACAGGATATTCTGAATGCCTAGTTCCCTGGGAGAGCAGCAGTGGAAAACTTGCTGCAGGGTAGGTTGGCTCTACTGAGCTAAGGTACAGGTTCTCAAATGGATTTAGATGTCTACCACAAAACCCCTAGGAACTAGGTGTCTGAATGCCTTTGGGGATCTGCTTCACAGGGCCTGTGTAAGTCTCCGGACAAAGATCAGGATTACAGTCCTATGAGTCTATGAGTCTGTCCTACAAAGAGGCATGTGAGCAACTTCACATATCATTAATTGAAGCAACTTCAGCAGGAAAAGGCACGAAAGTAAGATTGGCCAGCTGTCTGCACGTGGCTATGTCCCAGGATGCTATGGCAGACTAATGACAGCTGATAATCTCTGCAATATTAGTAACCGTCCACAAAGATCTCACATATTTACTGTCTTGGCTCAAATGCAAATTCTGTCACAACTCACTCGGCAGGCAACATAGCACTGCTGTTTGTGCAATGAGGTGATCAATGACCCTTCCAGTTCTTCGGAAGGTCCATGATGCACATATTACACTAGTTCTAATGAAAGAGCACAGCACAAAGGGAAAAGTACCCTGTAATTTAGAGGCACATTTCTTAGCTATGAGACACAAATAAAATCTTGTGTTAATGACAAATAGCAAAGGCAACATCCATAGGAGGTAAAATAAAAAAAGTCAAATGTTCTGCAAGACTGAATCTTCACATCATTACTTTGGATGCAATGCTGATAAATCAAGCAACTATTACACAATCCAAAAAATAGTGATGGGCAAAAACTTCTAATGGCAACATAGACTCCCAGACACACATGCATTAACATATACTGAAATATCACAGTACAGAGTAACACCAGACTTCTGCCGTTCTATAATCTTTCCTTCACATAAAGCTCTCCCTGCCCCTCAAGCTACTTCATTCAAATATAAGACAAGAAATACTTCAGTTTTATCAAATAAAAAGACAAAATTCTTACCTACAATCAAATCTGATCTCACCAGAGAAAACGCTGGTTCTTACAGAAGGTGATATCACAACTTTTCTGAGTATCAAAATAACTCTAAACACGTCAGAAAACAGTGGTTGATTGTTGGCCTGGGGTTTGTTGTTTTCATTTTGTTTGTTTTGTTTTGTTTTGTTTTGTTTTTAATAGAAGCACCATCAATTTCCCTTCTTTATTTATAATTGAGGTATAGGCCTACCTTCCTCACTTACAGAAGCATGGAAAATTCAACTGTTAATGTTTGATCTAAAGTTAACTTAAATTTAAAGCAATGTCCTAAGCAATGCACACCTGTCCAAAAGGAAATCAAGATAGATAATAGCTTCTTTGGTTTCCTCTTTTTTTTTTTTCTCATTTGTGTTCAAATTAAATATTGTTTGAACAAAGAATGGTTTCCTGGGACATCTGTTGTGCTAACTGTTCATACAGATGGGGTCATCTGTGAACACTTCCAAGCTGTTTTTCCAGTTTAAGCCAAATTCATTCGCTAGAAACAAAGCCCCTCTTTTTCAAGATAAATTGTTCATCAAATTTCTTTTTTAACCAAAAATAAAGCAACAGTTTTTGAGGGCAAGAGGAGGGTGAGAGCTGCCTAAATGTAACACGCATGTATATTTATCATGATCTCTGGGCTGCCATTCTTATCTTTTCATACCCATCCCGTGTCAGCTGCACTGGCAATGGCTGTTTGTATGCAACTGAAGCAAATGCATTGCAAAACATTTATGTGCATGTCTACCAGGTTCACAGCCCAAGCCCAAACCTGGTATTCCCTCCCTGACTCTCTAAATGCCGTCCTGGGTCAGTGGAGGTGTTTACCCCACTGCATTAGTTATCACAAAAGAAACCAAAGCAAACCCATCATCTAATTCAGCTGTCTAATTTTTTTCTCTCTTTTTGCAGGTATTTTTGATAGAATATACAGGTCCATTGTTCATCTATTTTCTGTTTTATTTCCGCATGCCTTTTGTCTATGGACTGGATGAGAGGTTTACATCAAGCCCGCATCCAGTAGTTAAGTAAGTCCGTTTGCAGGCTTGAGCAGTATTTCTTGTTAGCATTGTAGTCTTATTCCAAATGTCTTGCCACACTTGTTTTTTTGAAGCACTCTTAAATGCTTTTGTCTTGCTGTTTCTAGCTTGGCATGTATCTGCCATTCTTTCCACTACATCAAAAGGTTGATTGAAACAGTATTTGTTCATCGGTTCTCCCATGGGACTATGCCACTGAGGAATATTGTGAAGGTAAATTGTGTCAGAATCTATCCATAGCCCCCCTTACAAATCCAACCCAGCCAGCCTACGCTCTGCAGCACAGATTTTTTTGATGTGGCTTCTGTAGTAACGCACAGCAAATCTCACCCATAAAGCTGTAGTTCTTTCAAAAGATTTCTTAATGTTGCTATTGTATAACCCACATGTTGCCATACAGTTATTCATGTTACAGTAGTCTCATTGCTCTTTTAGCATTTTAAACCTCCGGCATACCCTCCCTTTTCACTCAGGTAGTGCCTTGGGTGTGAAGGTTTTAGTAACGATGTTAACTTTTAAGGTAGCACAGGCAGGCACAATGTTGGGAGGGTTGCTTTTTTTAAAAAAAAAAAATATTTTTTGTAACAGTCATTTTACGTCTTCTTTGGTTAATTTACCTTTTTTGCTCTAGCACAAAGCATCTTGGTTGTTCTGCATTTTTCTTCTCCCACAGGAGCACTCTCTAACATTACCAGTGCTGCTGTGGCACAGGAGATGCAGACCCCCTGTTTCCTAATGGCCTGCCTGGTTACGTGTGGGCGATAGTTATTTTACAAATGTTTGCAACAGAGTACACACTGAGATTCAAAAATATGCTTTATACTCAGGAAGACGGGAGGTTATAATCTACAACTGGGAAAATGTGTAGTATAGTATCAGCATCTGGGTATGGAACTTTTGGTATTTAGACAGTCCCTTTGAATTTGCGTTGGGGCACCCATACTCCCAGCAGCTGAAGCTCTCCCATGTGGCTAACTCCTGACAGCTGCACAGTGGCCCCAGTAGTTCTGGCGAGAGCTTCGTGCTTTCTAAATGGAAGGAGGGCCTGCAGTTGAGCTGAGTTCTGGGAAAGAATCCTCCCTAACAATTTACAGTGATTTCTGCAGCGGAAGAGTGCAGGGGTTGTTAAAAGGGTAGCAGATCTCTTAAAGACTTGTTCTTGTCACAGTCGTAGCTAACGCATGCTAAACAGCAAATAAATGAGCAACTTTACCTTGAAAAAGAATCTATACAGTGTGATAAATCTTCATTTCCTCTCTGCCATCTCTGACAATTACTTGTTCCTTTCAGACCATACAAACTATTGCTAAAATTGACATTTGTATCAGCCATTCTGATCACTTCTACTTTTCCACCTTCTCAGGTTGGTGATACTTGCTGGTGGTACTTGCTTTCATCTGTAAAGTTGCTCACAGTTCTTCTTCTACTTGCTTAGCAGTGCTTGGGTTTGATTTGCTTTTATGATTTCATTGACTTTGGTGGTGTTACTCCAAAATTGTGCCAGTGAGGAAAATATCACATCCTCTTCCCTTTTTTCTCTCACATACAGATGGTAGACAAAGCTTTTTACTTTAGGTGCTTGATCACAAACATAGCAGATATAGCTACCTTATTTCCTAAGCACAATGGAAAGTTACCTTTAACAAGAGACACGTCAGTCTCAATAAGCAGAGATCTGAGGCAGGAACTGATGAGATCTGTAATTTTCATCCTTTGTTTACCAAGAGGAAATAAGAATAAATGATGCCATAAAATGCAGCAGGGGTTCACCTAAAGCAGTTCATGCTATATACTAACATTCTTTCTAAGATGTGATTTTTCTAGGCAATGGAAAGGTAGAATACCCGATTTATCTGGACTTATTAAGCAATGGACTCAGAGTGAATAAGATAAGGGTTAATGCAAAAATTGTGTGATGATAAAGGACCTAACTAAAGGAAAGATGACCGTGGTTGTGCCAGAAAAGGATCTGTCAGACCTTTAATAATAGTGAGGTACCAGTGGAACTCCTCAAAGATTAGTTTTATGACTGGTCTTACTGAACATTTTCATGGGTAAGAAGGGAAATTGTCACTTTCTATAAAAACATCTGAAGAAAAGAAAACACTCGACCTGAAAAAATACCATTTAAACCAGAAGACAGTATAATGGAGACAAACAGAAGGGTACATGCTGGTCATGAATAAACATAGACAGGGCACTAAGAAATAGTTTTGATCATTATAGGGATCACCAATTCGAGTAGAGAAGACAAAAATCCTAACCATAACTTTGTAAATTTAAGAGTAATTTATTTATGGGATCCCTGCAATACCTGAACTTAATCCACAAAATTTCTTTATAAGAGATTGTTGTAAAGCTTTACAATTCACCTGGAATAGGAAAGATTCACAGAAACAATTTCTTTCTTTCAAGTGAGTTTATGAAGTCTGCATGTACACCGCTGTTCCTGTCTGAACCTCACCGGAGGCTTTTGTATGAGCAATAAGGGCTCTAGTGGCAATTGGACATTTGTATTGTTACTGCTAAGGACCTTATAAGTGTCAGACTCCACTCATCTTAAAGCTCTTTTTCTTATAACTGAGCAATACTCTCGCAGTAAATGATGTTCTTTGGATGAATAGTACTTGTTCAGTTTAATTACAGCATGTATCATTGGGAGCTGAGCCATGAGCATTTATTTATTTAATTTTACTTTACTGAAATCCATTGCCATATGATCCATCCTGTGCCAAGCCCCAAAATTAGGAAAAGGTTTTTCATAAAATGCCGTTCCAAGATTACAAGGAACTGTTTCCACCTAAGTTTGTACAGCAGTTAGTAAATTGTAGGTGATGGTGGAAGAAGCTAGCGTTAGGGAGGAAGCAGCAGTTTCTGGATAGGCCACTAAATAGATTGTCCCTCACTGGAGTCATTCTGGCTCTGCTGCTTTTCCTGGGGAAAAAGGAAATTGTCACAGAGAAGTTATAATCTCTCTGCTCTTTTGTCCAACCTGATCTGTAATTATTGGTTAATGATTCGCTCTTTCTCATAGGTTATCTATTAATATATAATCTCAGAGCAAGGACATACTATATGCTTGTGTTACAGCATACCCAAAAAGGTGTCCATTTTGTCTGAGGACTCTGGACATTTCAATGGTTCAATTAACTCTGAAAAGAAAGTGGAAATGCAACAGAATGTTTGATACAACTATTTGCAGCAGATGGGGGGTTTATCGCTCACCAGCATTTTCAGACAAACGCAGGATCAGACACTGCAGTCAGCTCGTGTGGGTTGCAGACGCTGAGGTAATCACTTTTCGAGGTACTATTGCTAGAAATGCAGTTCTGGTATATACAGGGGGAAAAGGCTGCAAAATTCAAAGCCAGGGGAAAAGAATAGTAAAACCAGTCAGGACAGGAAAGAATGCAGCCTTGAATAACAATTTTGGCTGCATGAGCAGGAAAGAAAATCTGTGAAGGAAAAAGCAGAAAGACCTAGAAATGCCTAAGATACGTGGACCTGTTGGAATACCAAGAAAAAAGTATCATCACCAGAAAGAGTAAGAGGATCAGTGTTTTACTCAAGAGTGAAAAAAGGAGGGAGGATAAGAGGAATGAAAAGAACAGAAGTGGTGAAAGGAAGATAAAGAGCTCAATTTTGGTCTCGCTGAAGTCCGCGTGGTAACCAAACATTTCCTAAAACATTAAAAACTGAGGCACTAGGTTTGATAGAGGAAGAAATCTCAACTGATGAGAGGCAAATTTATGAGCTGTTGACAAGGGTTAAAGTCTGTCTGTAAGAGAGTGGCACCTAGAGGTGACAGCACTGAGGAAGAAGAGCAATGGGCTAAGAAAGGTCATCCCTCCTAATTCCAGATATATAAGGAGGGAGAAGAGAAACTGTCAACAAGACACCAAAGCAGCAATGAGTGTCAGAAGAAAAACCACAAGAGCCAGGGCCTGGAAAACCAAACAAGGGGTAGAGACTGTCATTGCAAGCAGGTTTTTTCATGGATGAAGCCTGTGAACAAGCTCTGAGGTTGGTTAGGAATGGGTCAATGCAGCCATTAGTGACAGCTACCTTATCAGAGTTTGGAGAATGGAAGCTAAAGGGACAACTAAAGGTATCATAGCTAAAGGGCAGAGGAAAGCATCAGCCATGATGACTTTAGGCAGGAAAAGTTAAAGCATGGGAAAGAAAGAAATCTGACAGGGTGAAGGAGAAGAGGGAAGGCAAGAGATTGGGCAATAGAAAGTAATAAGCAGGGAAGAGAGCACTGTGTCTAAACATGGTTTTACAAAGTCTCAGGGGTTAGCAAAACAAGTGTCTTTTTAATATACAGTCTGAACGGCACTTCATCTTTGGCCAAATGACTTGCCAGATAAGATAAATTTGTTTTCAATAGTATAATCATACTTCCTAAAGCTCTCTATAAACTTAACAGCTCTAAGATACTTGAGACGAAATCTTACTCTATGAGCTTCACTTTCTTCCTGTTATTTCCTGTTGTCTGCTCCCACCTTACCACACTTAGTATTGTTACTATTTGTTGTACTATCAGCAACTTGAAGGATCAGTCCAACTCACTGTTATCAGTGGTTCTTTCAGTGAATACTGAAAGAATACTAGAGGATCATACTAAAACAAAGAAAAATTCCCTGTTTTTCAGAACTGCTTGTATTACTGGGGATTTGCAGCTTGGCTTGCTTATTATATCAATCATCCTCTTTACACTCCTCCTTGTAAGTAGCAAAACAACCTTCAATATGATTTAAGTACTTATGTATTTGTATATTAATACTAATCCCATGTAAATCTTTTTTTTTTTAATAGCTTATGGGAAAAAACAGATAAATTTTGCTGTGATCATGTTTCTGGTAGGTTTGTTGCTCTTTTTATAAAATGCTAAAACATGTTGCTTTATTTCTTATGCTAAGTGGAGCAGTGAGTAGGATAAGCAGATACTTAGAACTTGAACACTTGGGACATACTACTAAAGTTGACCACTTGCACACAGAACAGATAAAACTGTCAGTTCTTAATGGGATCTTGTACACAAAAGAAGGTTTTGATTCAGTATCCATTCTGACACTGGGATATTTATCGTCTGGGAGGACCTATCATAATCTTTAAAAGCATTCTGGAACTACCAGTGTTTAAAAGCCAGTGAGTTTCTTTTGTGAACAGTTTATTGAGTTTTATGAATCACAACAGATCATAAAACTCTGAGAACTGGCCAACTAAGAAAGTATATTTCTGATAATTTCCTGGGATAGAGGTTCATTTTGCTGGGTTTCAGAAAACTTTTGCAGCTTTCCTTATGAAGCAAAATTCTTAAGTCACTGTCTGTTCATTCTCACAGTTCCTAGGAACATTTCATACATGCAGAAGCAATGTTAGTGTAGTCAACAAAGATGCACGCATTTTTCCTATGTATTTGCACAACTCATTTAGAACATCAGCTGTTCAGTTGCTTTGAGAAACGAATTGTATTGACTGTAGGATCTCAAAGAAGCTTCCCAGTATGAAAATTCTGTGAGTTTATAATCTATTCCCATTTTATAGAGAGACTACATAACTGAAAGCACAGAGCTGGGAATGAAACTCAGGAGCTCTGACCACCAGTCCTTTGCTTTAGTAATTATGATTTGCAGACACTGGAGACTGTCCATAATCATATAAATGGGTCACTTCAATACACTTTCTGCATAATTGATTGGGGAAGCCTTATTTAAAACCAGTGGAGGAAGCTGGGTCAATTATATTTAATGATTCATATCAATTATACTCTAGAGAGGAAAACTTAGAGTCCAACCTGTATCTTCCTTGATATTTTAGTAACTTTGGAGAAACCAAAAGTATCCAAATCAATTCTTTTGTGTGTTTTTAAAGACATAAAAATAACCAAAAGATAAAGCAGGTGTCTCCTGGGTTTACTTTCATCCCCCTTGGTTTATTGCCTTTAGATCTCATGGGGATGAAGTAGTAAATTTGATCTTTTGGACACTAAGTCCACATTTGTTGGCAAATATTATAAATATATAATAAAGTATAATATGGACTCATGTTTGTACAAAGACATTCCATCCTCCTGTCAGACAGAAATCATGTTTTTTAACATGATATTTGTCATGGTGAGCATTGATTCTTTTCTTTTTCTTTTTTTTTTTTTAAAGTATGCCAGAAGATAACAAAAGGAAGAGGAGTAAGTAGAAGGGGAGCATATTTTTAACTCTGTCATGCTTTTTCTTGCAGCTATGTGAAGCTGGAAATTTTTCCATTCATGTTGCACTCAGTGACCTCCAGAGAAATGGTAAAAATTGCATTATTGTTTTTCACTTTTGCACAGCCATTCAGTACTTCTGCTGTGGGAACACAGGTTGCTCAGCACTGTAAAGACTGGATTCTAGGGGAGATCAGACAGTGCAAGGAATCCAACACCAGACTGTGACTGTGAAACAGCACTTCTTATCTTACAGTCATTTTTATTGGTTAGGCCACGTTGTGTTGGAGGGAGCAGTTATATCAGTTATACTGGTAGTGTAAAAGGAAACAGTGCGAGTATAAGCTTTGCTTTGGTAACCAAGGGAAATTTCTCTGGCTTCTACAGGGGCCACAAGATCTCTGCGCAGGCCAGGAGCCAAACGCCAAACATCTTACAGCTATCAACTATGACTGCAAAAATACCATTCTGTGACAATATGAGAAAACATTTAACTTTTAAATCTAAAACTTGAGGTACCTCTTCTCACAGGAGTGACTGCGATCAAAAGCATATGTAGATGATTTTCTAATGTCCAGAACATTTCCTCAGTTATCCTATTCCTTCTTCTGGGTCCAAAGGACATCCTGTTTTCCCACATCGTGCTTGTCCCTCTGACAGACATGAGACACAGAAGTAGGTTGTCTTTATAGGAAACAATATATTTAGGAGTGTGAATATTTTGTGATTTGTTTTCTAATCTATAGGATCCAAAACCCGTAAGATCCCATATCCAACAAAGAATCCTTTCACATGGCTGTTTTTCTTTGTATCTTGCCCTAACTATACATATGAGGTATGTATTTTCAAACAAGATATTCAGATTTTAGTTTTGCTGAATGTATTTTCATTTCTTTTGGAATGTTAAACATAGAAGAAAACACTGAAAGAGGTCAGCTCAATACATTTTCCCTCCTCCCCTTAACCCCATGGAATCAGATTGCAGACAGGAACTTCTCTGTTCTTCCTCTCCTCCCTTGAGGCAGAACGTATGGGGCTAACGTTAGACAGCCTGGCCCCTGGGCCTGTGCTTCAGGGTGGCCTCTAGACAAGACAGATACAACATTTTAAAGCAGTGCAAATTTTGCAGACAGGGACAGGGAGATTGCCACTGAATGTGTGTCTCAATGAGGGGATGGGGGCATCTGGTGGAATTATAAGAGAGCCCAGGAATATGGGAGTATGCAGGAAGGTAGTGGGCAGACAAATAGAAGATACTGTGGTAGAGAAAACAGGAAATAGGGAAGATGACCTGGGCCTGTTTTCTGAAGTTACACAGTTGCTTGTGCTGGTGGTGACTGCTTTAGAAGCTTGAATCAGTTTATCCCTTCATATTCCTTAATCAGGAGCCAAACTCCTGACTCAGCTCAGAAGCAGTTAAAACCAGTGCAATTCTGTGTAAAATTCACTCTCGCACAGAAGGAGAGCATCAGGTTTTAACTTCAGTGCAGATCAACATATGTTAACATAACACTATAGAAAGTTACCATTCCTAGCACTGATGGAGCTGTGACAAAAACTAGGCAGAGCAATTTAAAGGACACTATGTTGTAATGGTTAAATTTTGTCAAGATAATAGCTGTGGAAGCAAACATGAAGATTTTATTTGTCGTAATAAGGCACTGTTCACACTTTTGGTTAAAGGTTATTAACACCAGAAATTGATCTGGCTGACCTTGGCTTTTTTATTTACCTATACTAGGACAAGGTTGTTTTTGATCAATAGAGACATAAATGCAAATGCTGTCACCAGAAATATTTTAAATTTCCTTGGCCAAAACAGGTGGGGACCTGGATCAGTTTCACTATCATGACTCAATGTGTTCCAGGTGAGTAATGTTTTGGTACTTCATCCTAAAGTGATGTCAGCAGCAAGAATGTGTTTTTAACCTGATAAAGACATGTATCTTTTTCTCCCTTCCTTCCAGTGGGGCTGTTCACCTTGCTTTGCTTCATTCAGATGACAATCTGGGCAAAGGATAAACACTGCACCTACCTACGAGAATTCAAGGATTATCCAAGTCTTCGAATGCCAATTATTCCCTTTTTGTTGTAAGAAAAAAGGTTTAATTTGAATATTGCACAGAACTTCAAGAAGAAAAAGCTCATGAACCTCCTGCCAAATAAGTGAATTAATTTAAAGGATTTTGGTGCATGTTGAATCTCCGCAACTGAGGGAAATTGTATGCACTTCAGAGCTATACTTCCTTACTTTCAAGAATTCTCTGCTCAGAAGCACCTTCAAAAAATAAGGCTTCATTGCACAGCTGGTAGTCAAAAGCCCCTACAGTTCACTGTAAACTTAGATTTTCCTGTACTAGTCTATTTAGATTGATGGATCAGAGATACTGAGAAGTCTGGGCTGAAAAGCAGCTCCAAATTTAGCAGTGGCATTCTGCAAGACATAAGTACATTGGAACGAGGACATACCAGCTAACTACTAGAGAGCTCAGCCAGCACGGCCAGCTGGCCCGAAGACAGTTGCATGATCTGCTGCCTTTGACTTGAAAAAGAAGAGTGTGCTGCCTGGAGGCAGGTGCTTTGTAACAAATAACATTACCAAAGAATATGAATGGTTCCTGGAATAAAGAAATAGGCAATATCTCAAATCCCCGATTTGAGTCTAACCCCTAATTTGCCAAATGAATCTGAAGTAAGAAATATTTGTAATATTTGTGCAGGTAACATCCTGTCGGGGTTTTTTGTTTGTTTTTAGCCTTCTTCATTAGTAAATTACATACTAGTAAATAAGGTTCAGAAGACCTGATCTATGCTATATCTGTGCTATGTGGCCTGTTTTCATATAACAAGTCTTTATGATACTAAAGGACATTTTACGTAGCATTTTATGCCAGTGTTCTCTGAATAGTTTTTAATACACTTTGTAAATACATGAAGTGACTGCTAGTCCTCAGAATGCTAGCTCCCTTCCTGATTTCAGAGCCAGGGAGAAAAATCAGCTACATTTTTGACTTCCTGTGTTTTCTTTTTCACAAGATGTTCAGTAGGACTTAGTTGGGTTTTATGAAATCTAGTAAAAAAGGACTATTGCAATCTATCTGAATAACATTTTAAAGAAGGTGTTTTAGAATATGAAGAGAATACATAGATGCTGTTTTGTTTCATGATTAATTTATTTATCTATAATGGATGTATAGAAAGATTTTTGCAACTATTTGTAAGGGTGAAATATGCAATAAATTCTAGACTGTATTTTGAAATCAGTTGAAATAATTATGGCTAAGAAGATTACACCTAGTTGGTGAAGTTTCATAATATTTTGTATATAAAAGATCTACATCAATTGAAGAAAAAACCTAACAAAGCAAAAATACACGACCCCGGTTTTATTTCTGTGTAACATATCTTAGAGAAAATTTCTTAGAAGTGGTTAGATCTAGACCTAAGATCTAGACCTAACTGAAGCAATATACCATTATGAGGTAGACCTAACTGAAGCAATATACCATTATGAATTTGTTTTCAGTACTGTTGCTTTCTACTAGTTTAACTGTGAACCACAGAAAAGAGCTAAATGTCAAATGATTTCCCACTGAGTTCAGTATGGAGTACAAGCACGTTGAAATTCACCTTCTGAGCACAGAGAAAGCACATACCTTCTTGATACTTTACACCCACTTAAGGTCCAGTCACAGAAAAGAAGAAAAAATTGATCTTGTTCAGTAACAAAGACATATTTCCAGGCCTCTATGAGAAGAAAAAACTTTTGGCAGATTTGGACTTACTCGCTTTCATTTTAATCTCCATTTTGACATTTGCTTTGGTTTAAGAAACTTGAAGATGAGTATGAGATCATTTTCATTAAGGTTCGTTGTTTTTTTTTAAAGCAAATTTCTTGCTCGGGTCTGAGATCTGAATTAATTCTTCCCATTCTCGCTGAGACAACTGTGTTTTCACTGGCAGCCTGGTGAGTCAGTGAAGCAGTTTCCCAGCACTAGCTCCATCCAGCAGCACTGATGTTCTGACCTTGGTAGTCCTGTGCACTCAGGATGGCAGGAATCCACTTCTAAGCTGGGCAATGCTCTCTGCCTTGGGACCTGTCTGCTGACTGGTAGCAGTTGACTTAAACAAGAAAAACCCACCAGCCTGAAAAGTCCATGCAGAGCAACTTTCTTCAATACTCTTTACACATCAATAAGGAGGAATGAGACTTCTCTTCTTGTATCTTATAATAAAATTTACATTACAGGAAGATTTTGCTGTGTAGCAAGGACCTGCATTTCCTTTGACAGTTTTCAGCATGTAATGTTACTGGTAGAGCAGTAGAAGTTGGCTGTTGCTGTTGCGAGCACAGTGCCCAGAAAAGTGCAAAGAAAAATATATGAAAAAAATCAGTGTAATACTGAGTGTGGGAACTTTTGCTTTACCCTTGTACTGCTCTGGTATGGCACATCTTTGCACTGCGCACACTCTAAGCTCTAGTGACTGTAGGAATAGTCTATGCAACTGCCTGCTGCTGCAAAGAAGGGGACACCTTTGCTTCGCGGCTGGCTCCAGCTGCACGGGGATGCAAAGGAATTTCCTCATCCTCCATCTGCTGTTTAGCAAAGTTCACAAAAACCTGTGTGAGGAAAGCAGAAAATGTCACCATCTCATCAACTGAGATGAGTTACTGGAATGTCTCTGTACATTTGCATCGTCTTGGCCTCTCTGCAGGGAAGAGACAGAAAGGGGAATTCATAGACATGAACTGAAGCGAGACACTGCATATCAGCAGGGATCATTAATTATTTTTTTATTTTGATAGACTTCCTTGCAACTTCCTTCCTTTGGATGCACTCACTTGTAACTTAAATCCCGTTTTTTCTCAAGCAGGAGATGAGCTCAGCAAGGTTTGCATGGCTTGCACAATGTAAGTGACTTTGGTTGGGATGGGAAAGAGGAGAGAGTATTTTAGTAGGAAGCTGTAAGGCAGCCAGGAATGTCTCTCTAGTATTCCCATCCAAGAAAGCTTTGCATATGTGGACCCTCAGCTACTTGGGAAAGCAGGCAGATGGAGCTAATACCCTCTAGCAAGTGGGTGTTGCCAGCAGTCCCAGTGGACTTTCCAGGTTTTGTGTGTCTAATTGCTCCTGTATAAAAATGCATGACAGATATATAAACAGTAGATATCACAGTATCTCTGACACAACATAGTCCAAATCTCTCATTTAAAATAAAGATGTTATTGTCAGCTCAGGAAGCCTTATTCTGAATAGCTGACCTTGCTCAGACTGCTGCTCCTGAGGCAATAAGTTCTGTGAATTCTGGCATATGAAAAACGCTGTCTTACCAGATTTCAAATGGCACCTATTTACACAGGGAATTAGTTACAGATTTCATATCTAATCTACTCTCCTTGATGAGGGGTCTGGTAATTTTGCCTGAGAAGAGGTGCGACATAATCCTCTACTCTGAACAGTTTAGTCCTTCAATTGTTTGGATACAGCCCCATTGCATTGCCTAATTCTTGCCAGACAGGCTTTCTCATGGATGCTTTTATTTTTCACTTACCTGATCTAACGTTGTTTGAGACACAGAATATTCTTCAATATGCAAGTTTTCCTTATTGGAGATTATTAATCGAAAAATCTTAGCCAGAGAGGAGGAGCAAATCTGATATTGCAGCATGTTGTAGTGTTTCTCTCTCTGTAAACTCCCTGGGAAGTTCATGCGTATGAACTGCTCAGCAGGAGTAGGATCTGGAGGCAGCCCCGACTTTGGAGCTTTGATTTTCAGAGTGACAATGTAGCCATCTCCAAACCTGGGAAGTACATGTGGATTTGGGAATTGGATGAAGAGATGGTTTCGTTATTCAGGAAAGAAATTAATTTTCAGCAGTTGTGAAAACATTAACAGTATCTGAAAGGTAACACATAAGATCTAGCTTTGTAAGAGGCTCTCTATTTGCCTTGCAGATGTGGTGTGTAGTGGAACAGAGTTGAAATGAAGTCTGCTCAAATTGTCTAGGATACCAGAGTTGCACCCAGAAACAGGTCTGTTTAAACAGCAGGTCTTCAGATTGGATTGCTGTATTACGAATAGTACGTGTCTCACACTAAGTTTTCCCATTAAAAAAAAACAAACATAAAAATATTCCACTTACTTGTATTTTAGCTGCTGAATTGTGCCCAGACATTTGAAGGTACCTTTTACCATGATGGCTAAACGAGTACATAGGGCTTCACATTCTTCCATACTTTCAAAACAGAGAAGAGATATTTGAGACAAAAGCCAGGATGAACTTGAACTACTCAGGGATTCTGAATTTTGACGCTTTTTACCTGTGTGAGGTTAAAACCACAGCTCGCCCATCTCTGAGCACACTGACGATAGAGTCCCACAGGAGGCGCCGGGACTGAGGGTCCATTCCAGTAGTTGGTTCATCCTGCAAGAGAAACATTAAGGCAATCAGAGTCAGAGAACCAGGTAAGAAAAACAAAATCTATTTAGAATCAAGCCATTGCATGTTTGGGCCTTAGTATATAGCTGCTTCCCTACTGAAATCTGTGCCTTGAGAAAGCACATGTGCCTTGAGGAGCATATGAGTGAATGATTAGAAATGTACTTCTTGGCACAAAGCGGTAAGGAAGCAAGTACAAGAAACTGTGGGTAAGATTATAATGTTGTCTGTGTATGACAGAGCTACAGGGAAGGGAATATAGTGACCATTATGACAAAGGCAGCCCCCAGCCTAGGGTTTTAGATATCAAAAATGTAAGCATTTGTGATACCCCATTATAAAAACATTTAGGACTCAGAAATAAACGGAGAGAGGCTCATGCAGTAGCAGCTACATCAAATCATGTCAAGTTTGGCTCCCATGTTTTGATGGGCATTAGAGGTGTTAAGTCAATATATTGGAGAACCAAATAAAAGAATTTTATATCTATAATATTAGCTTTGAGACAGAAACGGACACTTTGAATAAAATCTTCCTTTTCTAGGGCAACAACTTCTGTAAGAGAGTGAGTTCTCCCCAGGTAACCTTGTTATTTATGTAAACATGTAAGACACATTTCACAACCCAAGAAGCTAGTGAGGTCACCATGATTTAAACCAGCTAAGCATCTGCATGTCCTGCATAAATCAGTTAACCCAGTTAGTAACAAAAAAATTTAAAAAGTCTTGGAAAAAAATATTTCATTCAACATTTTGTCTTAGGAAATGATGAGAAAACATTGTATCTGGCTGTTTACTACATACAGGTAGAATACATGTGAAAGCATATTAAATGGCAGAAGGAACCATGCTATTAAAATGCTATTAAAATGTTTCTTTTTAGCCTACAAATTAAAGTGGTACAGTATAATCTAAATAAATATTTTTTTATAGTAATTGCATTTGGAATTTCCCTTGAGATATGCAGTTATCTGATAACTTATGTTATTTGATGAGAACTACATTTCAGCATTTGTATAGTTTAGTCTGAATTTGTATAATTTATTCCAAAGATATTAAAGGCTGCAAAAGCATAGCTATCTTCCTCTCTTCTGCTGGATAAAGCAGCAAAGTGTATGTTGTAAGATCATCTTTTACATGAGTGGATATACTCTGGCAAGAAAAGGCAGACTGACACCAAACATGGATTTAAATTCAGATTTGTCTGGATTGCAGATTTTATCTCAAACGATTCTTTGTTGAAGATCTTTCATTCATAATCACTTGGGGACCATTGAAAATATAGTTATGCATCCCAGTCTATCCCTGAAATTATAGAACTCAAAATTACATTGAAGTACATGTAAGTTGAAGGCAGAAAGGAGCCTGCAGGGACTGTCATAAACATCCTTGTATCTCTTTAGCGTGTAGTTTTACGAGATGTCACGTTGAAATATCACAGAGCTATGTTACCATGACACTTACCAGCAAGATGAGTGGTGGGCAGCCTATCAGTGCAATGGCAGTGGAGAGCTTGCGCTTGTTGCCACCACTGTAGGTACCAGCCAGGTGGTCTGCATACATAGGAAGTCCCAGCTTCTGGATGCCCCACTCAGCAACCTATGAGAAAGACCACCTTTTTCACACAGAAGCTAATGCATAACAGAGGAGGTTGCTGGTACATCCCTCTTCTGACAGAGACATGGCAATCTCCTGGGTTTTAGAACATTCATTTTAGAACTGGAGCATAGGAATAAAAAAAAAATTTAAGATTAATTATTAATTACTTGATGGAAAGCCATAAACCAGCTTCAGCTGTAGACTTCCTATCTGTGCAAGA